AAAATAGGAAAGAGGAAAACATGCTGAACTAGAAAGGTGTGCTCAGTAGAGTGCAGATCTGCGCCAGGTGTGTCTGCAACGACCACCGCTGTATTGTGTGATTGAATGAATACAACTCACAATTGGCTAACCCTCTACGTGTGTGTACAGGTGGTGCCGTTAGCCAAACACACCGCATTAAAATGATAAAAGTGGCCAACAAACAAATGGTGATGTACGCCATCAGCGGGCTGTAAAGCATCGCAAAACACACTTCATTTAAACTCAAAAACAAGCGGCGATGTACACAGGCAATTGGCTCAAAGTCGTCGTATAGGACATTATATACGATCTTGTTAAAAACGTAGTTTCATTAGCTGTTGACCAAACACACCACAAACTGTTCCCCTCTCCTCCCACTGTGAGTGCGGAGGGTTGGAGACGCATTCGGCTGTGTTTTCACTAGCGGCCCCTACCAGCCAGTGATTAAGAGTAGTGAGTGAGGATTCTGCAGGTAGTAAATGGCAGTATAAAAAGGCGATAAAAGTGTGTTTTGAGACCTTGAGTATACAGACCTTGAGTATGCAGCTGTAACTGTCAACCCAAAATATTATGCGGTTTGCTGCAGCAGAATGCGAGATTAGCTGTGGACAGACATGGAGCTGTTCACTCACTCACAAACTTACTCACTCATGGACGCTCGCATGCACACGTGCGCATGCAGACGATCACAAAAATAAATAATATAACATCCCATAATATAAGGGTTTAAACAAATGGCACACGCATGCTTAAGTATTGCCAACAATGTATTTCTCATATAGAGCTGTGTGCAATTCCTAGTGATTTGGGATATAGCTGCAATTTTAAGTAAGTTGGAGAACAGTGGTTCTTGACCTTTTTTTCCGGTACTGGACCCCTTGTCCTGGGGTCTTCAGTAACACAGGCATATTGAACAAAATACCATGTGGTAAATCCGGCCGATTTATATGAGCCGCATGTGCAATGCATCAGAACTGTGGCGGAGACACACTTTGAGTGCCTTTTGTAATCTAATTAGGTCATTTTAAAAGATGATCTATTTGTTTTCGGAGGTCGCCAAAAAAACATGACAGCTGATGCTATGGAGACCAGGAACACCCAATTGGTCCTGATATGCTGCTGTGGAGTGTTTGATGGACCCACAGATACACATACCGGCCCATAGAGCCATCCTTATGCCCCGCCTCTAGAGGGCAGACGGAGAGAAAAAAACTCAGTATTGACTAGTTCTTTGAGTCTTTTAACACGATAAAAGCCCACATCTTTCTCCTCGTCTGTCTCTCTCATCCTCTGTCTTCAACATATCTCTCTTCCATTTCAATGTTTCATTCTCGCCTTTTAAACTCTGTCACCTCTGATTATGCAGAATGTCTCTCTAACCCTAATCAAACTAATTAACACACACTAGACTCTCTCTCTCTCTCTCTCTCTCTCTCTCTCTCTCTCTCTCTCTGAAATTGATTGCTGGTGTATCAGGGCCTATTGTTTTCAGAGGGACAGATTTGTGCCACTTTTGTTTTTTAATGGGCTCTCTTTTAATGTGGTTCCCTCGCTTGTCCTCTCACACCTCAAATGTTGTTGTTCTGTATCTGGGTTTTTTCTTGGCTTCTGTTGAAGCTTCCATCGCCTCCCTCCCTCCCTCTCCTCAGAGCGCTGTGCTGAGTGCCACGCTCTGACGGATAAAAGCAGCCAAATCAAAGCCTCTGCCACCCATGTTCACTTCAAATGCAAAAGGAAAAGAAAGAAAATAATTCACAGGAGGGACCGAATGAAAGCCAGGCGCTCTGTGTGAAGAGCAGGCCTGTGTGTAAGCACTTTGGACCAGCTTGTTTTTGGGATTAAAGGCAGTATGGATTCTCCCATGAGGCCCGAGCTGCTTTAAACACAATTGTGGGCCCTCTGTTATTACAATACAACAACCATTGAACCATTGCTAATCATCATATATACACAATGTCGAGGCTGATGTTGGAGGTGCACTAATGGAAACCGATGGCTGCCTGGAAAGTAATCTAAAAACTTTTGGTGTTTTCACACAAATCTGAACAATAATACTGTTCAGATTATTTCGGGCCAATGAATTGAATGTGTTGGAGTGATGGCTGCTTTTATCCTGAGAACTGAGCTGTGGCACTAGAGTCTGTCCTCATCATTTTGACTGACAACTCTAATAGTGTCCTCGGGCGACATTAGCTGGTATCGGGGCTTCCTGAGGCAACCATGTTCTTCAGCTGCTGCTGGTGGTGCTGGTGGTGGTGGGGTCTGGACAGGGGGACTTCACTTGAAAGACGTCTGTGTGTGTCTAACTAAGATGTTTGTCTGTCTGTCTTGTCCGTCCGTCAGACGTGTCAGAGATGGAGTCATACCATTCCTATTCTCCCCCAGAGGAGAGGAGGTCCCGCCAGTCTGACCTGTCCTCTCACTCCTCTAACGAAAGAGACAACCCCAGGTAGGATGGATGGATGAGTCTCAAAACCTGTCACAACTGACCTCCAGTCTGGTGATGTAGACTTGTGAACCAACTTGGATGTGCCATGGACTTGAGACTTAAGACTTAGATGTGTCTTGATTGACTTGAAATTCAAATCTGATTTCCCCCGAAAGACATTAAAAAGCTCTGAAGAGCACTGTTTGTAGTTATCGAAGAGTGCTGCAGGGATGACCTATCTTTGTAGGCCAACTCCAGAAGTTAGCATTGCAACAAAAAGCCACTGGGATATTTGCATTCCCTGCGTCAAACAAACATTTAGGATACTTACACGTTTTATTCAGCATTTTATGATTATATATGATTATATTTATGATTAAGCGTGAATTTGATCGCCACATGTAAGAAGCTAAAGTGAGGCTATTAAACCAACCACACCACGGCTAGCATGACATCACGTCACCCTCACGACAGCGGACTAGTAGGTGTGATGGCGTTATGGAGTCTCATTTAGCCACCTGTTAGCATCCACCTTTTTGAGAAGGTACAAGGTATTTACTGACGCGTTTCATGTCTTAGAACAAAACTTAAAAGTCTCTTAAGCTTGTGCTAACCACAGACCTTATTTCAGTCTTCTAACCAAAAAACCCATTGACTTCAAGACAAATGAACCAAGCTTAAAAATGCTGACTCATTTCCGGGTTTTAGGACTCATTCCTCTGTGAGGTGTCCTGTTGTATCCTATTGTTTCCTTAAAATATATGTGAGGTCTTACTGTAATCGTGTCCCCCTCCTACAGTACGCAAGCTTATTCAGCATATTCTTTAAGGTTTTAATCAGTTGCTGTTACACATTTACAGCCTCTCATCCTGTCTCTTTCTCTCTGTGTGCGTGTGTGTGTGTGTGTGTGTGTGTGTGTGTGTGTGTGTGTGAAGCAGGGAGGAGCCCATGAGGACAGCCAAGATGTCAGCCATGGCCTCCCCATTCAGAGTACCTGAAGACCCCCAGGCCTCAGCTGAGCTGAGCAAAGGCACGCCGCTCATTGAGGAGCCTCCAGGTATTCACTCACAATTGTTTGGTCACTTGGAAACGAGCTGTAAACACAACATCTGACATATTGTCATCTTAGAAACTTGGATATGGCAAACAAACTTCTCAGCCTTCTGACTGCTTTTTATGGCCATTGTTGGTAAAAAATACATAAATTACAGAGCTGGGGAGGGGGGTAATAATCCGAGAAAGAATTCTGAATTTCCGAGATTGAAGTGGTACATTTGATTTTGTGAGTTTTCTCTCGCAAATTTATCACTTTATTCTCAGAAATTCCTATTATTTTTCCCAGAATATTACCCCCTCCCCAGGCTATACAATACAGGTGATTGTTATGCTTCTTAACTACAATGGCCCTCATGCGCCGTCCTGCAGCACAGATTTGAAACTGTAAATAAATAGGAATAAAATGAGTGAAGTGTCAAAGTATCATCGACAGTCAATACTTTTACTGACATAACATGTTGTTTGCTGTTGTAAACATGGAAGATGTTAACAACACTCTCATCTACAGCCGCTGTAACAACCACGCCCAAGATTCTCCTCCGACCAAGTCCTGAAGATGAAAAAATATATGGGTGACTTCTTTTTCTCTCTTCACACTTGCACTACATGTCTCTGGGCACTGAAAACATTTGCTACAATGATGATTTGGCTTGAGCCTGACCATGAGCTGCTGAAGAGTGCTGCAAGAACTCACTGTTGTGTGCCAGGGACGTAAAGAAATACTAAAGCACTGACGCATCACAGTACATCTATTTGTGCAGGCTGCTCTCATCCAGCATTCGATGAATACAAAAAATGATGCGCCGTAATACGAAGGTATCCCACTAAATCATGCATTATAAAGAAACGAATGTTGGATATCCTGTAAACAATTTAATTTGGCTGGAAAAAGTCAAATGAAGATTTTAAAGACCTCCTGTTTCTCAAGCAAATTGGCCTTCTTTTTAAAACCCCAGATATGTAAATAGCAAGTTACAAAAATTCAGAGGTGCACGACCTATGCTCACCACGCGCCGGCCGTGATTACGTCATTTTCTGGCGCGTGGAGGACATTCCGTAGTTACTCCAATAACTGCACCCGCCCAATCTGCACTGTCCAACCCACAAAAATATGCGTCAATCAACCGTCAGACCTGCAAAGCCGCCAACTTTATGCATTATAGTAGCACAATTGTCAGGACTGAGGACAGAGACACGGAGACATGGACAGAGACTGAGGATAAAGCTGCTGTGTGTGTGTTTGCTAGCGAGACAGAGTGAAAGAGGGAGGGGAAGAGAACCTGAAAAGCACGCAAAGCTTCTGTAAGTTGTTAATAACTTTCTCGGGAACACTGCTTTGTCTCTGACCATGTTGTTAACGGCAGCGTGTGCGGTGTCCCTCCTGCAGGCCGAACACAGTGATGGTGAATTTCCAGAAGGGGGACAGCGTCGGGCTGAGGCTAGCAGGAGGAAACGATGCTGGCATCTTCATCGCTAGTGTTCAAGAGTGTAGTCCTGCCGAGGAAGAGGGCCTGCACATCGGAGATCAAATCCTAAAGGTAACCAGAAATGACAAGAAGCTCAGAGAAGCCATAGTGCAAATCACACTGACAGAAAAGTGTGTATGTTGTTATTTGAAAAGTAAATGGTCTTAATCATTGTGCACTTTGTTTGTGTCTTGAAGGTGAACAATGTGGACTTCCAAGGTGTAGTGAGAGAGGAAGCGGTGCTCTTCCTATTGGAGATCCCTAAAGGGGAAGTGGTCACCATCCTGGCACAGAGCAAACCTGATGGTAAAACATTCCCACCATAGACGCACAGCCACTGTTCCATTATATCACGTATATATACTGTATATATACTGTATATATACAACTTGTCTTTTTCTATAAAAGCTAAAACAGGCCATCTATTTCATACAAGACACATACACAGTCTGTAAGGCAGATTATCATGACATCTCATGATATTTAATGAGCACATTCATGCTCCTCAGGAGATGAACCGTCCTTATTTTCAGCCCCCTAGAAGCTTTCTTCTTCCACCTCTTTGGGCCAAAATATCCAAATTACTTTTCAGATATCATAATTTAATAATTTTGAGGATTGTTGACTGATCATGTTAATGCCTCCAATTATTAACATTGTATAATAATTCTGGCATAATTTTGATTTGTTTTTGCAAATGATCACAGAATTATCTTTGCGTTTAGTGTGAACACAGCGTTGTAGTTCTTCTCTAGTACCACCATCAGGACAAACTTTTTATTTTTAACAATGTTGACCCATCCACTGAAGGTATAAATAGTTATACCTTCATTACAATAAACACACACACACTGTAGTTTATTTTGACTGAATCTCACGTAAACCGCCCTGCTGTGGGAAATACTCACTAGAGCACCAAACGTGTATTAATCCGCCGCTGGAAATAGTCCCCAAAAAATGCTCCACTTCCTTCTGTTTGAGTAACGTTTGTTAACAATGGAAGGTGTTGTTCTGAGCAATTTTAAGTGACTCAGTTGTAGGCTTGTCAGCGACATGTGGAGTATCCCAAAACACAGTGTACTTTCCTACAATGCACTACTCTCTCTCTCGGTCTCGGTCTCGGTCTCTCTCTCTCGGTCTCGGTCTCTCTCTCTCGGTCTCGGTCTCTCTCTCTGGCATGTTTCCATTTAATGATGGAGATACCAGCTTGGTCCCTCAAGGCTTTTAGACCAGATCAGGCGAGTTTTGGTTCAGCCAACCGTGACACACATGGGCACACGCCTCCAACTGTGTTATGCAATCAGCACATTGGCCCCCTTGAGCGTGTGGCTCTGGAAAAAAAGGGGCTTTTTTATTGGAGAAATCTATTTATGAAGCAAAAACACATCGCACAGTGAGGCGGAGCCCTGACATGACAATAACACTGACTCTTCACTGTGCAGCACTGTTGAGAGGACATTTAAGGTCATCAGAGAGAGTTGGCAGGTCCTCACATGAAGAAACAACCAAATGAGAGGTCAGGGTGGCAATTGTATTTTGAATGATTTTCATGTCAGATACAATCCATACCAGGACCTCACTAGTACAGTCAGATGTGTGTGCAATTGTTCTCCAAGATACATCTTTATAACTTCAAACCCAATTTAGTTATAATGTAATGTCAGATTAAAAAGGGTGGCGCCACACAAACTAGTTTATGTAGTGTAAGTTAAGTGTATTTTTGTCACACCTTTTGTTCCGATACCATTTTACTTCCTCGATTCCGATATCTGAACTTGGCAGAAACAGATTAGCAATCCGATACCAGTGCGTTATAAACAGAACTATACATTGTTAACACTCTATTCTACTAACCCTGTGTGGATGTGATATGATTGCTGCCACTGTTGTTTGGCCTGGCTCAGGTTAAAACCTTTGTCAAACATCAACAAATACATACAGAGAATATCACCATATTGCTGACATTTTGCTTTATTTGTCCCCGAAGAGCAATTAGCTGCAAGCAATTTGCAGCAAGACATCGGTACGACAATAAGATACAAGACAAGATTTGTTTTTTTCGCTCTCAAAACAAACAAAAAAACTGAGTAGTTTCAAAGGACTTGGTGATGGAATTACAATAAATAAGTTCAGCTGTTTAAATTAAGACTTTTGCTTTTTAGACGATTGTTAAAACGTTCAGAATACCACAGCAACGCATCACAGTGTTTCCCCTAAAACTGTACAATGGGGCCAAAAGAATATATTTTTTAATGCCAAAATTAACAAATATTCACTCCATTCTTTCCCCAATATTCATCCTGTGAATAAGTGTCGTTTGTTAGTTCACATGTCTGTAATAACAGCAGGACAGTCGAGTGCATGTTATCTAAACTGCTCAAGTCAGATGAACAAGTGAAGTGAGTATAACGTTGTCAGTACCGGTTACAAACGTAACAGAATCCGACACGCTAACATGCTGACGGATTCTGTGTTTTTGTGCTGTTCGATGAGCTAAACCAGAGAATATTCGGTTCAAACAGATCAGTGTTGCTGTTTTGTCCTCGTTGTTCTCTGTGAAGTTTGCTGGAAGTCATGTAATATGTGGCCCCAGTGCGTTTCACTGCGCCAGACTACTTTAAAAATAGATGGCAGTTTAAATGGCACATTGCTCATCAGCAACCGGTCATATGGTGGCAATTTGGCTTTGCAATGCACCAAAATCAAAAATACATTCAAAATACCTGTCGTGCCATTTAATCTAGAATGATAAATAGCACCACAGGTAAGAGTGTAACACACCAGTCATAATGCTTTAATGAAATCTGTAACGGAAAAAACAGGTTTAAAAGTGACATCTGTTCTTTTTAAATCCGTGCTGTGTGGTGGATCTAATTTATGCCGACGTGAAGAGTGGTTCAATTTCCAAAAGTGACAGTTAAATGTTTGAAAAAAGTAACTGCTAAATATTTAAAGAAACTTTAAATTGTTAAATTTCAGAACAGAATTTGGTGTGGTGTAATTGTGTTAGCGCACACACACACACACACACACACACACCGGCCTATCCACGAGGCCATAGCAGAAAACCCAGGGAAAAGGGCTGCATAACGTGTTTAAAACTGGGAGGTGTACTTAAACTAGAAGGAGGTTATGCTCGGGGAACCCTTTGTTTTATGTATGTTATCAGTGTGAGATAAAAGTAGACTGAATATATGCAGCTGAGTCTACAGTGTGTGTGCAGCAGTGGATCGTAGTCAGTGTGACTGTTGCCTCCTCTGTTGGTCCTTTTGGGTCAGCGCTTTGTCGGACCACGCACATCAAATCAGGGAGCCGCGCTGGAGCCTGGAGCAGGCCGTGGAGTTTATTTCCATGCAACAGTCAGACAAGTGTGTGCATTTCGTTTTGATTGTGCAAATGAGACTGGAGATTTGTGCAGAGAGGTTCATCCTTGATCTTTGAAGAACACCGCGTGTAACAAAGTAGTCCGAGCTCAAATGTCCACGTGCTAGCTCTTCTGAGCCCAAGGCTTTCATTTCCATTCATTTGTGAAGTATACAAAAGATAAGATTTAGATCTTTATTATTATCACAAATAAAAGTCCATATCAAAGAGACATGGTCTATGTCACGAAGCCTGTGCTCTGGAATTTTATCGTTTTAGGGACAAGGGCTTTGCTGTTGTTAATTTTTTGAGGGGGCGAAAGCCTAATGCCATCGATTTTAAGTACGCAGAAATAATGAATGCAACTTCAGGGTTAACTTATCAGTGAAATTCTATTTTAATTGTGTTGATTGTTTTTATTTCCTACTTTGTTGTGCTGTAGCCTACAGACAGGAGTTTTGGGTGCATCCCCTGAACCACCAAAGGAGACACTCAATTTTCCATTAAAGCAACTACTACGGGGAACTTTCATTTCGTGTTGATTTTGGCGGTCCCTGTAGACAAAAGTGGTAGTGCCTCAGGCATTAAAAAAACAAAACAAATAGAAATAGACAATCTATCCGCTGATGGTTCCGTTTAATTATTGGTTCCGTTGCAATTAGGGTCTTATAGAGGCATCAGTATTACATTAAGACTGTTTCATAAGTGTGACACTTTAACAATATGGTGTCTCTCTACCTTCAAAGCATTCTGTCAGTACAACAGTAAAATTCATATTACATAAATATATATCCAAATTCATCACACGGGTCTAATATACTCAGTTTATTTAGTTTAGGCAGGTCACCCTAAAAAGGGGTGGATAGTAAAAGGTTTATTTATTACCTGAAGTAATTAAATTAGCACAAAAAGTACAGGTGGTGTTCCGACAGACCTCACTTGAACTCGGAGGACGTTTGAGAAGTTGCTTCAATCTGAGTCTAGTGGTCCTCACTTTGTCTGAGCCTCATTCTAACATGTTACTCCTCTATTGCTGCCCTGCTCTCCTCTGCTCTTACATCCAGCTTTCTCTCCTTCCTTTTAACACCCCCTTCTCTTTTTTGGTTTGTCTAGTCTACAATGACATCTTGGTGTCCGGGCGCGGAGACTCCTTCTTCATCCGGACCCACTTTGAGTATGAGAAAGAGACCCCTCAGTGCCTGGCCTTCAGCCGGGGGGACATCTTCAAGGTGGTGGACACCCTTTACGACGGCAAGCTCGGCAACTGGCTGGCGATCCGTGTTGGCAAAGACAAGCAGCTGCTGGAGAAGGGCATCATCCCCAACAAGAGCAGGTAGGCCTTCAGTCAGTTCTACAAAAACACTGAAGGTGTGTCCTTCAGAGGGTAGAAAAGGCCTCACTATCCTTCAAAGAAAATGCTTGTCACGTCATCTGGAGGGGCCGGGGATCGAACCCATCTTGCGATTGGAAGACGACCTGCTCTTTCACTGAGCCGCAGCCGGCCACCATCATCATCAGCTCAGCATGAGGTCATGGTGGGTTTTAAAGCCCCCGGGCCGACGGTATCAGACTGCTGAAACTCTGTGAGCCGGTCAAAATAACACGATTATCTTATAATCTTCACGTGTGGTGTCGGCCTATAGTTTACGTTACTGTGTTTACTCTGACACTAACCACAGTCTGTTCGGTCCACGTACTCTGTGATAGTTTGTTGGACTAAATCCAAAGTGGCAGGAAACACCTCGTGTTTGAGTTTTTTCCTTCCCGCTGCCAGACACTATTTTACCTGGAGTAGAGTGGGTTGCTACGGAGAAGGATCCATCAGTTAGCAGAGCTGCAGAAACTTTCCTTCAGCAAGTAAACCACAACGCCAAAAGTCCCGGCGGGCTGGTGGAGCTCTGGGTCTAACCTTTTCGAATGGCAGCAACAGAAAGTTTGCTGCTCTAGCGTGGAGTCGTGGTGGTCCGGGATCAGACCCCCAGCGCTGTGGTTTACGCTGGCTGAAAGCTGACAGCTAACTGCTAACTGGGAATGTACAAGTCTTTTCTCGTTTCTGCCCCTTAGGATTTAATAAAACCAACAAACTATCAAAACGTACACGGACCCTGGATCTTCAACGTGATTGACAAGCCCTCAGGGCAGTTCTACTTCTTCGTCTTTCGGACACTACAGTGATTCACTATCGCCTCTCCGGGTACAAGTGGTATTACAAGACAGGACGGACCGAGGATAGCTGGTTAGCATGATCTTATCAGCAGATATTTCTGCAACACACAGATGTCTGTGACATAACGTCAACACTGCAACCTCTTCACATTCTGTTGATAATGTTTTTTACTAAAATCCTGAGCAGATCTTACACATTGCACCTTTTAAATAGTAGCAAACTAAATAGAAACGAAAGTTACTATCACAGTGCTCAGGTCCTTACATAAAGAACCTCAATCATATGAAGATACAACATGTATGCATGTATAACACAAATCCACAAAGAGTCGATGAAACTGAACAGTGTCCTCTGAATCTCTCTCTTTAACACGCCTTCTATCAATGGCACAAAATTGGGAAGAAAGGTGCACAGCACTGCTGCAGTGCAGCACCACTACTCTAACTGTCCCGGGAGGGTTGCTGTGATTACAGGTCCGGAGCCCAGAGGCTGAGTAAATCACTGGCATGAGACGACCCATGTCCCAGTGGTATGCTTCGGTATGAGTCTTGTCTGTTTTAATTACACCACACATTCACTCTGGGGGAAATCAGTGTGTACTGTAAAATGCCCAGAATGTGTTCAGTTAATAGCTTAGTAAGTAGAGTTTATGTCCACAGCATTAATCTAAAAGACATGACACAAAGTTCTCCACAATCAACGACATCCTAGCCAATCCTAGCTTCCATTGGGCAAGAGGTAGGGAACACATCGCCAAGAAAAGGACATGGCTAACCAGGCGGCAACCTCGAGTTCTAAAAAGTGAAGTCAATGTGGAAGTACTCTAAACTTGCATTCTCTCAACTGACCATCAGGGGGCGACTCCTCTGGATGCAAAAAGAAGTCTGGTTGTATAGAAGTCTATGAGAAAATGACTCTAGTTCTCTCTTGATTCATTAGCTCAGTAAACATTGTAAACATGAGTTTATGGTCTTAATTAGTGGTGTAACAGATCGTTGTCGATCCGTGATCTGTACGGACCACGGTTAGCCGTGAACAATCAATGGATTAGTGACAGTTGCATTTGTCCTCCCCGTCAGAGCGGAGCAGATGGCCAGTGTCCAGAGCTCTCATAAAGCTGCTGCGGGCGATCGAGCGGACTTCTGGCGGTTACGAGGCCAACGTTCTTTGAAGAGGAAGGACCTGAGGAAGAGCAGAGAAAACCTGAGCAGTCAGACACTGGCCACGCGCTTCCCAGCGTACGAGCGAGTGGTGCTCCGAGAAGGTGATTGTCTTTATTTCAGTTTGTGTAAATACTGGGAAAACAGAAGCGTCCACTCAATGGAGTTCAGATCTCCGCCAGGTTTCTCTCCTTTTCCCCTCCCAAAAAAAATCAAAGTTGAACCTCAATTGTCTCTCCCTGCTTCAGGGATTCATTCATCTTTAACATGCCTTACATTAGTGGATCATAACATATGGGGTATGGAATTAATCTGCAGTTGCTTCGGTTGAAAATGAGACCAAACTTTTCTGGGGATGTTAGAATTCAAGCCACGACAAAGACCAACGTGTGGCCTGCGACAGACTAGGTAAGGCTTGTTTGTAGCTGAGCCGATTGCTAAAAAAAGCCTTTTGCTACTGAAGCGGTTGTTGATCACTTGCGGACTTTACCGGCCGGTTGAGAGTAGCGAGGAATCAAGAGTCAATGACGATATAAATACGGTCAATAAAATAGTTTTTTCAAAAAGTGTGCATCACTGCAACCATGAGAGGTCCTTGAGCATACAGTGATAGATGAGCACCAAAACATATTAGACTGATTGGATCAGTAGTCTGTAAGATTAGCTGTGGACAGACAGACGGATAGAGAAACGCACACACACACAAAACCGAACGGATCGTCTCCACTCAGGTTTAAGCATGGTGAAGATTTAAAATACAGTAGTTGTATACGTGATTTGTCATCAAGTTATTTTTTCAAAAACACCTGCAACCTCACATTTAGTTTGGTGCTCTCGTTTTGGTGTAAGAATGTGTAGTTTGGAACTCATCTATTCTCCATAATTAAAAAACTAATTAAAACACATATTTGCATGGCTAATGTTATCATCTGAATTTAGCCAATCACAGATATATTCTATCGGCAACTATGTTGGTCTGTAAGTAACAAGACATGTACAATACAATTTCAAAGTGTGTCATTTAGACATTTCATAATTTAACATGTCTCCACTATATAGTTTGTCCACCAGAGAGAACTGTTTAATTTTAACACTGTAAATTGTCCTGCTCACTACATATCTTGTTTATGTTAAAAAATCAGCGAGATACATCGAAGACCACTTGACTTTCAGTGCAACAGACTTGAAACTGTATCAGCATGTGTGTGTGTGTGTGTGTGTTTGGGTGTCCACGGGTCTCCACAACACGCCATCAGTGTGTAATTGAGGTAAAGTTTTTAAACTGTGAGCAGCGTTGTTATTGACAGCATGTCGTTGCAGCTGGTTTCCGGCGTCCCGTAGTGCTGTTCGGCCCCATCGCCGACGCTGCCAATGAGAAACTGGCCTCCGAGATGCCCGACCTGTTTGTTGTTGCCAGTGAGTCTCTTTCTGTTCACGTGTTTGTGTGTGAAGGTCTTCCTTACCCAGTGAATATATGTCCCGCTGCTGCTTCTTAAGAGCCTCTCCACTGTTTCTGTGTTCTTATGTTAGAAACTGAGCCGAAAGACGCTGGATCTGAGAAGTCCTCGGGAGTGGTTCGCCTGAACACCATCCGACAAATCATCGAGCAGGTGCCCACTCTCACACACTCGCACACACACACACACACACACACACACACACACACACACACACATTTCAGTCTATGTCATGTCCAATATATTCATTTTGGAGGAAAGAACTATTACATTTTATCAATCTGTATCCCTAAAATTGTAGATTTAGAATGTAAAAGTACCTGCAATTTACCATAACCAACCTCTGAGGTTAACAGTTAGTTAGTTAAGCACATTTATTGTATTTTCTATTATAAGTCTCAAGATCGGTTTTGCAAGAGACCGTCCAAAAAACCTCGAAAAACCCTTCCTTTAAAAAAGACCCCTTCAGAGGCAAATGGTTCTAGGTAGAACCTCAGCCCCTCCCCTCTCCCATTTGGAACATTTATTACTGAGACTAAGAAAGACAGATAGTATACTAATCCAAGATCCCAGCAGCAGCAGCAGCTGTAATAAAAGCATTGTGAAAAGGAAGTGAAGGAAGTTCCTTTTAGGAACACAAGCTGATCTAAGCATGAACCAATCATGCAGTGTCTTTGATTTGATACATCCTGGCGCATGCACAATATACTTGAAGCCAGACTACTTGTGCTCCAAGCACTTGGTTTGTAAAAGATATTGATGCGGTTGAGGAAAGCACATTGAATAATTTACAATGAAGGATCAGGGATACAGCTCTGTTTGGCAGCAGAACCTCCAGGCTAGCTGCTGCTGTAGCTGGTGAAAATCATCTTTTATTTACAAAAAAAGCGAAATGTGTCTTTATCTCCATAGTCTAAGATAAAAGAGTATCTTAAACAGATGTTGATATTAGACTTTGACACCCTCACAATGAAGTTCAAGTTTTGGTCATTGTGATTCCAACCATATCCTGGCATGAGTTTTCTTCTCCGGGTGGGACAGGGAAGTATGGAGGGAGAAAGATATGGCAATATTTGGGTGTAATAAGGTGGGGAGGCTGGCTTTGAGGTGGTACTAACCGCTCGAAGCACTTCATGACAACATAGGTCAGTTTAGCAGGATACAGTTGACCTCTTGGGAACTGTGATGACGGTGGCAGCCTGGAGGCCTGTGGGAACAGCAACCTGCTTCAGTGAGATATTAAAGATGTCTGCTGTTGCACAGTCATGCTGGCTCTTCCCCTGATCTGAAGGCAGCATTTCTTGTTAAACATTTCATTTATTACCATCGCAGCAGTTCTACGGTAGTTTATTCCAATTTTTCACCTGCAGTCTTGACTTCACGTCCCCCTTGGACCTGCTTATGACTGGTAACGTTTAACCTTCAGTGGACTTGGATTAAGGAAAAATGGTGTTTGTTAAAGGGCTATCAAAAACAGGAACAACATATTCAACACACAGCACGACATACTAGCTGGGTTTTCCCATTTGCGTCATTTTACGCGCATTTTTGACATATTGCAGTAGAAAATCCGTATGGAAACGGCAAAATTCGCTAAAAGTCCCTAAATTGTGCAAAAAACTTTTTTTACACCCGCTAAAACATTCCTTGCTTGTGCATTTGAATCATTACATTGGTTTGTGTTCTTCTCTCCGACAACATGAAACGTGGCCAATACTAGCTGGCATGACAGAACAATTAAAAGTGGACTTTTGGGTATATTTCGGACCACTGGGTGTGAACTTACACTTCCTGCGTAAAGCGTAGCTTATACCCCCAACTTCTGACAAAACTACACTTTGTGTAGCCGAGTTTATTCGCTCGAAACTAGTTGATGGATGCATTTCCTTTTTGTGCCACATTTGAAAAGTTTACTCAAAATTTGCTTGACAATTGAACGGAAACATGACGACTGCTGGGTAAGTAACAGGAGTACATGCAGAGAAGAGTTATAAAGATAGTGACTTGACTAAGTTATGCAGGAATATTTTTGGACTTATGAATTCAACTTTTCATTTTTTGCATCATGTGTCCTTAAAAAAAGAAAACTGCCTTTTGTAATATAGCCTTCACACCAAAAAGCACGTCAGCAGATTTGTTTCACCATTACCTTGTGTCTCCGTTCCCCACGCCACTCAGGACAAGCACGCCCTGCTGGACGTGACGCCCAAGGCGGTGGACACCCTGAACTACACCCAGTGGTACCCCATCGTCATCTTCTTCAACCCAGACAGCAAGCACGGCATCAAGGCCATGAGACAGAGGATCGTCCCCAACTCCAACCGCAGCGCCCGCAAGCTCTACGAACAGGCCGTCAAACTGAGGAAGACTTGCTCGCACCTATTCACCGGTACGGTCCACGTACATGTACGAACATTCAGTCCGGCTGTGATACACACAAATATCCATATTTGCTGTTCATTTGAGTGTGTATGCTGAGGTTTGATGGTTTTCTCATCCAGCCACCATTGATCTGAACTCGGCTAACGACGCTTGGTACGGCGGCGTCAAAGACTCCATCAGAGAGCAGCAGATGCAGGCTGTGTGGGTTTCTGACGGCAAGGTAAATACACACACCCACACACACACACACACACACACACATACACACATGTTGATTTCACAGGCTTCAGTCAGGGATAACCAGGGAATTGAATCCCCCATGTGAAACATTTTCAATGTAATTAAAGCATCTTTTCATTTTTTTATTATTCTGATGTATTAACGTATTTTTTTTCTCAAGAGAAAATTGTCGCAATCTGGGTGTTACCTTCGGCCTATTACTGTGCCCCGATGGAGATACAAATTATTTTTTTGAATTCCACACATGGAGGCTTTAAGGCTGCAGCTGGTAACTTTAATACAAAATAACTCTTTAATTCACCCCTTAAAACTTTTCTGAGCTGCAAAAACAACATCAATAAACTGGAAAAACGAATCAAAAGATTAGGCCTTGAAAGTGCCAGCTTCAAGTGTGAAGGCGTTTGTTCTTTCTAGGTTTTGGCCACTGTTCCCTTCAGCTTTAAAAAGTCTGGGGGACACGGTGACACTGCTTTCAAAAAGTTAACTGGCAATGTCTGTTAAAGGAGCACAGGACTACGCCCACAGAATGACCTTTTGTGCATCAACGAATGACTCGACCCGTTCCGTCTTGAATTGTTTTTCTCACACGGTGAACGAAAGAACCCTGAAAACAGAGACAAGTCTTGATGAACTGAAGAAAGATGGGGGCCGCGTTTCTCAAAACTATATCAACTATACATGTTTTAACCAACAGGCCATTTAATGAACAGTGAAGCCAGTGCAGAAGTGCTTTAATTAAAGAGACAGTTCACCCAAAAATACATATTCATCCACCTGTAATGCTATTTATCAACTCCATCTTTTTGATGTGAGCTGCCTATTCTTTGGTATATCAGCTGTCGAGATGTCTGCTGTTGTCTCCATTATAATGGGACTGGATGGCACTCAACTTATGGTGCTCAACTTTTACACTTTGGCATCCAAATATATTGTTTAACTGTTACTTTCAATTTTGGCATGTTTAGGTAGATTGTAAACCTCAAAGTGTAAAGTCCAGCAGAGCCACTTGGACTCCAGCTCTCAGCAAAGACACTGGTGACTGAAATGTTCTCACACTTTGATAGGAGCGAAGGCCAAAACTACCCAGGCTGTAAAAATCATTTTAAATCAGTCGCATGAGGGGTTAAACCCGAGGGGTCACTGGTTTACACTCTGCTTTCTTTGTGTGTTTCTGTTATTTGGTCCACCCCTTTTGTATTAATGAGGGAAGGACTGCTTTATTACACTGCATTAGGTTTAGTCCTTATTCCTGTATTATAGTCTGTAGTGGACTGACTGCCCTTCTATCCTCCGGTAGCCTTCATAGTAGCCACCCGTGGGTGTGCGCTCTGAGCATGCTCACTGTGTCTTCCTACTTCCTGCCAGTAGTGCTCTACAGCTCGGCTCTGTTTGTCTTTCTCTCTTCTCTCTTGTTCTTGTGCTATCCGTCTGTCCATCCTTCCTTCCTGTGCACCCAAGATCCATCATGTGTCTCTTCTAGCCGGAGGGAGTAGAGAGTGATCTGGACTGCCAGGACGTGGAGCGCCTGTCCTTCCTGTCCGCCATGTCCGCCGACTACCTGAGCATGGACAGCCGGCTGACCTCCGACCTCGACGACACTGCCGACGAGGGCGGCACCTACACCGACAACGAGCCCGACGTGGAGATGGTGCACATCTCTGCCATCAGCCGCTCGTCGGAGCCCGTCACGGCCGAGGAGGTCAGAGTCACGCTCACACACACACACACACACACACACACACACACACACACACACACAC